GTGGTGGGCAGCGCTAATCCAAAAATTAGCTCCGCAATTTCTAAAGTGCTTATGAAAATATTTAGGTTCGCAACTTCAAAAACGCTTATGAAATAGAAAAACTAGCGGAAGCTAATTTTAAAGTGCAAGTTCAATTTGACACTAACTGTCAACAATTCATGTACAATATATGTACAACACTGCCAACTAGCGGTGTATGAACCCTTTTACAGCTTAATCCTACAACCGCTGATTGCTGGGGATGTGATTTCATGAAACAGACCTTTAGCTCCTGGTGTAAAAATTAAAAAGTTGTTAAGGATTGCTAGTTCACCTGATTCTTGCAAAAGTTGTTGAAGATTGCTAGTTCAGCTGCTTCTTTGTCTTTTCTTTTTTTTGTTGTAGATTTTTCACTAAAGAAGCATCAATAACGTAATTTTAAAACTGTTTATTGGAAAACTGAAGCGATGCATTCCGGGTACATGATGGACTGACAGGAAACGAAAGTACGGGGAACAGGAAACTAGTATCTTCCTTTCAAAATAAGAGCTTGGATTTTAAAGTTTTCCATACTTTTTGTTGTTGCTCTAGTTGACCACTAGATGTCAGTCTTCATCAGCATAACATCTTTAAATCATTTCTGAGTCTCTAACACCATTGGCCAATTGTTTCGACCAATTACGTCAAGTATTGAGTTCCAGCATTTAAACTTTTTTTAAAAGAGCTCCGATTGTAAAATAAATCAATTTTAGTATGGATTACAAACATTAACTGTTTTCGCCCGGTCACTTAGTTCTAACCATTGCCTTCCTGCTATGTAAGCAGACACAAAGCATTGTGGGAAATCAGAACCGTGACCCAAAGCAACTGTCAGCAAGGATATATGCYTTCACAATAAGTGTGTTTACCTGGGAGGGGTGCTGTTCGATAGATCACGTATGTTGTGAGTCATTGACAGCCATACCTTCTGCTGTTCAAGATAATGATGAATGGTAGATAATTAGTTAATAGTGGTACTGCATTTTAATTTTAGAAAGCGCAAATCCACTTATGAATTATAAAAATTAGTCTGCTAAAGCGCAAATGAAATATTTAGGTCCGCAATTAGCGTATTTGCGCTTTAGCGGGCTGGTGCCCACCACTGGTTTCCAGGAATGCTCTGGGGGAAGTAGTGCTCTGGGGGGTGGGGACTTGGYTGTTTACAGAGCTCCAGGGAGGGGCTTTGAACAAATAGGCGGTGCTTTGTAAAAGCAAGCGTTTAGGCWGCTGCTAATGGCTACCACAGGAGATTTAAGGGTTTCCTCCTCAAACGTGCATGAATGAGTCAAAGCAACACTCTGGGCATGTTTTTGATGAGAGGATGATATAACATAATACAAAGCTCAAAAAATTTGATAATGCATATTACACCGACTTTAATTTGAAGAACTACTGTTTTTTTCTGTCCGAACTCCTAAGTTATTTTCTTGTTGAATTTTGCTAACTGTTTAGGCCAACTTGTAAAAACTTTTCTCAACCTAAATATTGTGGGTTTTTTTTTTTTTTTTGCTCCAGTCGAGAGAAGCTGTGGATCTGTATGGAGTACTGTGGTGGAGGATCTCTGCAGGATATTTATCATGGTGAGTTGTTTTCTGCTCCATAACTGCTAAAATGTTTTTAATCTCTGTTTACTGACTCAAATTATACTGAAACAGAGACAGGACCTCTGTCAGAAATTCAGATTGCATATGTCTGCAGAGAGACTCTACAGGTATGGTAGTTATTTTGTTTTTAAATAATATGAAGTCTTTGTACTTTTAACTAAACAAAATACTTTGTATTTTATTACAGGGTTTGGGTTATCTGCACAGCAAAGGCAAGATGCACCGTGACATCAAGGTAGCATAAATTTGTCTTTTTGTTTTAACATTTTCATTTTTAGCAAAGCTGTATTGATGCAAGTAGAAAGAATAAGGCTGAAATCTCAAAATTTATTAAACTTGTAAAAAYGTACAAGTGTAAGCACAAGAAATTGAGGCCTGATTGTTGGATATAGTAATGCAGCARAGGTGTGAACTCAGTTTGCAGAAAATACAGCTGAAGATGAGCTCATTTAAAAAAACGGTTGACCACTGAAACTACATGACAAGTTTTAGTTTCGGCTCTTCACGTCTGATAAATGCACAAAAGCCTGGAGCCTTACTCTAATATGTTATCGTAAAGGTCAGGGCTGGGCCTATTATCTTTTCTCAGCTCTACGCAGCAAGCACTTCCTGTTTCCTCTGCCCTCACCCGTATGATGCTACTTGTTAAAGTGGGAGCTCCATATTTCTTTCAGTGAATTTCTCCAGTATCACAGATTTTGAACGTGTTTATGTTGGCTGTGACCAACAGTTTCACAAGTGAGAGAAACTTGCACATAAATGCCACCTGATTGTGAGTTGTTTGAGCAAAACATCTTAACAAATGTTGTGGTGTTTGTTAACAGGGYGCCAACATACTTCTAACAGATAACGGAGACGTGAAGTTAGGTGAGATGCTCTTCCTAATACTTAAGGACTTTGAAAAAAAGACTTTACTTCTGGCTTTTTTAGCAGTGCATGTGTTACATAATCTGAAAAGCCCTGTCTCTCTTCGTTATAGCTGACTTTGGAGTTGCAGCCAAAATAACAGCAACCATTGCCAAAAGAAAGTCTTTCATTGGAACACCTTATTGGTAAGTGTGTCACTCTCCAGTTTGTGGTGAAATCAGATGTTATACTAGTTCAGTTTTCCWTTGTCTTAAAGTTGGACATTGAACTCTTGGACAGGGACCGAGGCCTGTATCCTGCTGATACAAGATTCTGTTCTGTCACTTGTACTGACCACTTGAATTATTACAGTATTAATATTAGGGTTTTCTTCCCTTTTTTATTTCAAAAGATCTCGTGATTTTATTCTTACTCTTAAAGGAATCTGACTAGTAGTAACAATAGATCTTATTTGATAAACATTTACTTCACCTATAAAAACATYATAAACAGCTGTTTAGTTTTTGTAATTTTTAAAGAATTAATGTCACATAAACGTTGCCATGTTATTTATGCTGCAAGGCATTCTGGGTAAGTGATAGACARGTTGCTCTGGTGCAAGTTCCATCCAGCTTGAATGTTAATTGTGGACAGCGTCTGACATTCAGCCCTTTTAGATAAAACTGGAGCGTATTGACAGAGAGGAAAAATGRCACAGCCTGCTACTGAAACTGATGAAGACTGAACGGATGAAGAGAGATTTGGACACGAGCTGTTTCTGCTRCTGCTTGCAAATGCTAACCTAGAGAGAGATTATACTGCAAACATACAGTATTCCCTTTCTATAACAAGCTGTTCATGGAAGCATTGGGATCAAAATATGGACTCGTATATTACAATAGTGCATTAAACAGTAAATATAGTGCATTAAACAGTAAATATAGTGCAGTAAACATTAAATATAGTGCATTAAACATTAAATATAGTGCATTAAGCATTAAATATAGTGCATTAAGCATTAAATATAGTGCATTAAGCATTAAATATAGTGCAGTAAACATTAAATATAGTGCATTAAGCATTAAATATAGTGCATTAA